CTATGCAACCATTTCCGCTGACAAAAGCATTTTTTATAACCTAGACAAAAACAGCCAGCAGATAGGTGGGCTGAGACGAGTAAATGGATGTAGCAATCTTTTGGATGGAACTTTTACACGCACGGTGAGAGCTAAAACAATTTTTTCAAATAATTTCAATTACTACGTCACTCAGCACTATCACAACTATCGTATTTGAATATTATCTTATAGTGTATCTAAACTCAACAGTTACCCTTTAAACATCAATTACACAAATTTTCTATCTTCAGGACAATCATAAGCAGCTGATCAAGCGGATAGCCTCGATAACCAAGGATTTGAAAAGAACTTCTACACCACCACTACCACTGTCACAGTTCATAGTAAGTTTACAACTGGGTAAAAGTTTCCCACCAAGATGTGTTTTGCAGCCAGTTTGCACATCCACCCCTCTTGTACGTAGCTGCATTGATATCCCATATACATCAAGTTGTGAAGAGAAACTACACTTCCATAGATTGCAAAATAAACAGCTGGTTAGGGCAATTTATGTTTTACCAGAGTTTAAGTAAAGATAGTGCAACAAAAGATGTTTTTAGTCGGTCCCTTCTTTCAAGCCGCCTCCGCCACCTAAAGAGGCTGTATGCGACGATAAGTTGGTTGTTCTTGACGACAATGACCACAATGTAAGCCACCAAGCTATCAGAACTAATAAAAGCAGGAGTAAATTTCATTTTTTTATAGTTCTGGGAGATGGAGCTTCCAAGAGATTATAGTGGTCTTATAAGTGACTCGGCAACAATTATAGCAACCGATGAGCCTACACTTCTTTTAAAGGTAACTTCGAAAACGTATCTGGATACAAGAAACAATTCTCCACTTTTCAGGATAATTCCAAGCTACAACTAGATGAAACTTTTATTGAGGAGATTACGATTTACGCTGACCCCGGTGTGGAATCCCCATTAGCTACAAACAAAACATTTATTCAATCTGCTAAAACAGCAGCAGCAAGATTTCTTTGGAAATTTCGACAGGAAATCCTTATGTCGAAAAGCATCACTGTTTAGTGTTATCTTCTCATGTATATTTGATGTTTATAGTTGTTGCACGACGTTTTTTCTTTCTTGTGAATCTTGTTACTACTGTGCTTGTATTATAGATCGTTTTGCAAGATTACTTGCTCCTGTGAATTCTATTGATGATAGTATAATAGCGAATAATAAATATATTTCTAGGAGCGCAGTGGATTAATCGTGGGACCGAAAAAAATCCTAGTTAAAAGATGTATAAAAATAGGACGGAGGAAGGAGATGTGTAAACAGCGGTAAAACTAAGCGAAAAACACTTGTTTCTTTTCGATATCATATATCTGGTTGTAAAGGCGTGAAAAGGAGATCTAAGGGGTCGAACCATTGGGCAGGGAGTCGGTATATTAACTCTGCGTTTTAATAGTAAAAACCTTGCTATTCCTGACGCCATTGGAGCAGTCGGGAGGTAGGGATAATTGCTTAACTCGTATCAAATCAGTTTTTGTAAAAAATCTCTTGTATCTCCCCTTCAACTCATTGAAAAGAAAAATTATGCCTTTTGAAAAGTTGGACAAGTCTGAAGCCACCCGTTAGAGGCTTTTTTTTTCATGATTCGGGCAGCCTGCATACACGGCTGCCCTAGACTAGTTCAGGCTCATGCTAACGGTTTCTAAAGAATAGATAGGTGTCTCAGAGAAAGTGATCATTATTCGACTTTTTAATACTTTTTATTTCCTAATTTTTCTGAATTCAGGGTTAGGTAGCCGGATCTTTTACTTCTGGCCATAATGATGGGATTAAAGTGTAAAGCCGCAGATAACATTCGCTGTCGCTAAG